TGCCCACCACTGGCAACGCCCCCCCCCCCTCACTCAATCTGGCGAGCACTGGCAACTCGCTCACCAGGGAGAAATAAGTGTTGCCAATCGCGAGAAGGATTTTAGGCGGTGGCGGAGGCGATAAAGACGGGAATCCTGGAATTACTGGAATGGGAACATTTAGCAAAGTAGGGTATTCGAAGGCGAGGTAAATGGGGCGTAAGGCGCGTGTAACTCTTCCCACTAAAAGAACGGTATATATATATATATGTAAAATGAATTTATATGTTTATTTGGCTTGTTGGTTCGCTGTGGAGTGTTGGGTGTATCGTGGGGATGGATTTGATCTTTCCTTCTCTGTTTTTATTATTTCCTTAACGTTGTTGCCTATTTATTCCGTTTAACTTGTTCTTCTTTCCTGTCTGTGTCTCTGTTACGTATCTCACATCGGTGTTTTTCCTTTCGTTATTCTCTGTTCCATATATACCCCCCTTCAAAGGTCTTTTAAGTACTCAACGTTCCTTAGCATTTTCTTTCTATGTCCATCCGGTTGTCCTTTCGTCCTCCCCTTTCGTTTCTATTTCCCCTTCCCCCCTGAACCTCGAACCAATCTTTTCTGCCAGCCCGTCCTCATAAACAAAGGCCAAAGTCCATTCCATGCACCCGCCAACCCCTTCCTCTCCCCCTGTTTATGAATGAAAAAACGGTTTAAACACGACTCACAACTGACGACAACTTCCGAACACTTCCGTCTTTGGGGTCGACCGCTTGATGGAATGGACTTGGTCTGAGGACGGGTCCCTTCTACACCTCGAACTAATCCCCTTCTACACCTCGAACTAGTCCCTTCTTCACTTCGAACCTCTACATCCCTTCTGCACTTCGAATCAGTCGGTGATTTAGCCATAAAAAATGCGGCCTTTGTGGGATTATATTGATTATCTATACGTATGGAATTTTGACGATCTTTTTGGCGAAAAAGTTTAAATATTTTGGCGATCTAGGCGGCAATGCGTTTGAGATATATAGATTGTTGAGATGGGCATCGAGAGGTGACAATGTAGGCGAGGGTGACACTGGAGACTGGAGGGAAACGACAGACACGATTGGGGGGGAGGGAGACACTGAGAGTCGAAGTGGATGACAACAGAGAGGAGAGACAACAGAGAGGAGGAGGAGGGAAGGCAACAGAAGGGAGGGGGAGATTAGAGGGGAGGGGAAATTAGGGGAGTTGGGCCATAATTTATGAGAGGGATATCCCAACTTTTGTGGGTATCGCAGTCAGCTGATTAATTGTCGCGGGAGACTCTAGTTGCTTAGTCACCAGTCAGGGAGGGGGGCTACAGTCAGGGGGGCTTCAGTCAGGGGGACTACGGTCAGGAGGGGCTACAGTCAGGGGGCTACAGTCAGGGGGCTACAGTCAGGAGTCCTACAGTCAGGGAGCAACAGCGGATGTGAGGGGAGAGAGTAGGGATATATTAACAGTCTACAGGTGAGTCAGTGTACGGGCTCACCATAGCCCGTGCTACATGGACACTTTGTTCCGAGTAGCTAAATCTGAAACAACATGAGTCAGTGTTGATATTATTGCATTTGAAGGTTTGTTTTTCCTTCTTCGTACACGGCCAAGGGTAAGGAAGGGGGGGGGAGGGGGAGGGGTGAAGGGATGGGTGGCAGAGAGAAGGGAAGCTGAAGGTGATAGTAGCTAGAAGGTAGAGGAAGAGATTTGGGAAGTGAAGGGGAAGAGATGGGAGGAGCTGGAAGAGAGGGAAAGGAGATGGAAGAGAAGGGGAGGAAATGGAAGGGTAGGGGAGGAGACGGAAGGGAAGGGGAGAAGGGAAGGAGAGGCCGCTATAGTGACCATGGTCGGCATATCCCCAACACTGATACACCATGACATACTGATATCATTATCCACCCTTTAAATACAAGTTACCTGAATTGCCACTATTTACATGTAACTATCCTTTACATTTATCCGGGTCGGTCGAGTACGGCTCGACCTATACCAGTCCCATCCATCCCATTCCGTTCCGCTTATCCCAGTCGAGCTGGGCTCAACCCAGCCGTTCCATTGCGGGAGAGGCGAACCTAGCTAAATCCAGCCCTCCCAGCTCAGCACTATTCAACCATATCCAGCCTGGCCTGGCCTGGCCTAGCCTAGCCTGGCCAGGGCCTAGCCTGACTGGCCTGGCCTGACTGGCCCAGCCTAACTGGCCCAGCCTGGCCTCGCTTGCCTGGCCTAGCCTCGCCTGCCTGGCCTAGCCTCGCCTGCCTGGCCTCGCTTGCCTGGCCTAGCCTCGCTTGCCTGGCCTAGCCTCGCCTGCCTGGCCTAGCCTCGCCTGCCTGGCCTAGCCTCGCCTGCCTGGCCTAGCCTCGCCTGCCTGGCCTAGCCTCGCCTGCCTGGCCTAGCCTCGCCTGCCTGGCCTAGCCTCGCCTGCCTGGCCTAGCCTCGCCTGCCTGGCCTAGCCTCGCCTGCCTGGCCTAGCCTCGCCTGCCTGGCCTAGCCTATGTGTACCTCAACTCTCCAGCTTGTTTCAAACATCGATTTTTCTTTTCTTACTCGTATGTCGCCTCCTCCAGCTGCTGCTTCCTCTGCTGTCTGCTGCTGCTGTTTCCTGCTGCTGCTGCTTCCTCTGCTGTCTGCTGCTGCTGTTTCCTGCTCCTGCTGCTGCTTCCTCTGCTGTCTGCTGCTGCTGCTGCTGTTTCCTGCTGCTGCTGCTTCCTCTGCTGTCTGCTGCTGCTGTTTCCTGCTCCTGCTGCTGCTTCCTCTGCTGTCTGCTACTGCTGCTTCCTCTGCTGTCTCCACCTCCTGCTTCCTCTGCTGTCTCCACATTCTGCTCCTTCCTTTTCTTCAACCCATTTTCTTCAATGTAACTATTTTATTCGATGAATACAACCAATTTTCCTCAACGCTTACAACTTATTTGATTAATATATGTAATCCAGTTTCAATGCCTAGAAAGCATCTCCTTCCACGCTTTCATCCCATTTTCTTTCATTCGCAAAACTAATTTTACTCATTACATACAATCCGTTTTCATAAACTCGTGGTACCCAACTTATTCAATGCATGATATCCCATTTGCTTCAATACAAGCAACGAATTTACTTGAATACTTGCTAACAATTTTCTTCAACATAACCAATCTGTTGAAGCTAATTGGGGTTTAGCTAATTGCACCACGTAAGTGTTGGAAGCCCCCACCCCCTCTAGAACGAAAAATTTGCCGCCAAAACATACGATTTTCATACCAGTATTTGTAATGGTATCCGTAAGTTGAAAACTGTCGCAAAATTTCCATAATTTCGGAACACTGAGGGTCGCAATGGGAGTTGTATCCGCTTATACGAGGACCAAAGTTTGACCGGCCTATGGCGGTTCCTCACCACCCATCATTCACCCTGCAAAGTTGCCCCCCCCCAATCATTAAAGTTGCCCCAAAGTTGTACTCTAACCCAGGACTAACTTAAATCTTCTTATATAGACAAAAGTGTTTCTTCTGAAGCAAATTGAAGCAAATCAAATGAAGCAAATGAAGCAAATCTTCTGAAGCATACCTTTTTTTAACATTATTCTATAAATTTGTATTCAATCTATTACAGGTTTCCTTAATTGCTTCTGGAAATATTATAGCCAATATAGCTATTTCTCAACCATTTCCCAATTTCTATCGCCATATTGAGTTTAGGAGATGGCGAGGGTTCCCTCCTCCAGGCGTCTGGTGTCACTGGTCGTTATAACCAGGTGCCCACTCCAGGGGAGAGGCAGAGGTGGGAGAGGGAGGTGAGAGGTAAGAGAGGGAGGTGAGATGTAAGAGAGGGAAGAGAGGGAGGTGAGAGGTAAGGCAGGTGAGAGAGGGAAGAGAGGGAGATGAGAAGTAAGGGAGGCGAGAGAGGGAAGAGAGGGAGATGAGAAGTAAGGGAGGCGAGAGAGGGAAGAGAGGGAGATGAGAAGTAAGGGAGGTGGGAGAGGGAGATGAGAGGTGAGGGAGTGTGTGAACATTAAAAAAAATATATATATGTTCCTCTTGGAAAATATGTACGAGAAAAAATGCTCTGAAAATTTGCGAGTTTTCTATTAAACAATGTCACCAAGAGCAAAACAGAAATATATTTAAAAAAACAAATTACGAAACTCTGTATAGAAGATAACGAAAACATAAACCACCATTAAAACAACAGAACCACTTTCACAACAAGACCATTCACGCAAAACAAACAGTGATAGAAAACATATAAAAAAAAAAATGATAAAATACGAATAGACACGTTAAAAGACAACCTCCCCCCCCCCCGTAACAAGCCTATTGGTATAATATATCAGTTTTCGGGAGCCATTTTTCCAGCGTAAGAGTGTTAATCGCGGGGCCTCGCGTATCACTCCGCGGGGACGCATAACACCCGCCCTCAAACACCCACTTCCGCCCAGGAAACGAGCGCCGGGACAAATTGTATTATGGAGGGTGTCGGGGGGCGGGGGTGGGAGGGAGGGATGAGTGGGGGGGGGATGCGGAGGGGAGGGGGGGGGGTATTCTGATGGGCAGAGACCGCAGGGCAACGCAATGTTTTTGTTGATTTTGTTATCTTGCGGTGTAAAGTATAGATAGGGAGTTTATTATTATTTTAAAATTTTCGGCATTGTGAATTCGCAATTCGTTTATATACATATTTTTAGAATTATTACATTAAATATGATATTACTGTATAAATCTCTTAATCTAATTGGGGAATATATAGATATTTCTGTTTCCCAGTTTTTTTAATGTATTTTAGCATAAATTTTACAATATTTAAGTATTTCAGCGATTGTAATTCTAGTCCATAATCATATATAAAAAATATAAACACACTCTGCAATGATTTTTTTTAATAATAATGGCTGCATTCGGAACTTTTATAAAAAGGTATCCCATCACACGATCCCCATTTTTTATTATAATAAGAGAAAACTGGTCCCATAAAAATAGAGATTCTGCGGGGAAGACTCACATAAACCTCAACTAATCATTGGGTTTGTAATGAAGGTGTACAGTGTGCCCACCCACTCCTACAGTACCCGGGCAGCGCCGGGTACTGTGGGTGTGCCCACCCACTCCTACAGTACCCGGGCAGCGCCGGGTACTGTAGGAGTGCCCACCCACTCCTACAGTACCCGGGCAGCGCCGGGTACTGTGGGTGTGCCCACCCACTCCTACAGTACCCGGGCAGCGCCGGGTACTGTGGGTGTGCCCACCCACTCCTACAGTACTCGGGCAGCGCCGGGTACTGTGGGTGTGCCCACCCACTCCTACAGTACTCGGGCAGCGCCGGGTACTGTGGGTGTGCCCACCCACTCCTACAGTACTCGGGCAGCGCCGGGTACTGTGGGTGTGCCCACCCACTCCTACAGTACCCGGGCAGCGCCGGGTACTGTGGGTGTGCCCACCCACTCCTACAGTACCCGGGCAGCGCCGGGTACTGTGGGTGTGCCCACCCACTCCTACAGTACCCGGGCAGCGCCGGGTACTGTGGGTGTGCCCACCCACTCCTACAGTACCCGGGCAGCGCCGGGTACTGTGGGTGTGCCCACCCACCACAGTACCCGGGCGGCGCCGGGTACTGTGGGTGTGCCCACCCACTCCCACAGTACCCGGGCAGCGCCGGGTACTGTGGGTGTGCCCACCCACTCCTACAGTACCCGGGCGGCGCCGGGTACTGTGGGTGTGCCCACCCACTCTTACAGTACCCGGGCAGCGCCGGGTACTGTGGGTGTGCCCACCCACTCCTACAGTACCCGGGCAGCGCCGGGTACTGTGGGTGTTCCCACCCACTCCTACAGTACCCGGGCAGCGCCGGGTACTGTGGGTGTGCCCACCCACTCCTACAGTACCCGGGCAGCGCCGGGTACTGTGGGTGTGCCCACCCACTCCCACATTACCCGGGCAGCGCCGGGTACTGTGGGTGTGTGCCCACCCACTCCCACAGTACCCGGGCAGCGCCGGGTACTGTGGGTGTGCCCACCCACTCCCACAGTACCCGGGCAGCGCCGGGTACTTGAGGCAGTTCGATATTAAGTGAAAAAAGATCTACTTGACAACTCTGGCGGCGATGGTGCCATCCGGTAATTTTTACAGCGAGTCGCTATATGCAAATTCTCTCAATTAAACTGAGAGGAGGTATTGATGATCTGTTTCCACGCATTCTTTTAAATATCGAAAGAACAGAGAGAGACGCAGAGAATAAGAGAAAACTAAAGAAGAGTAGAGGAAAGCGGAGAAAAGCAAATACAGTGCGAGAAAAACATACAAATATTACAACAAGAAAATTTGCTAATCTCATTCCAACGTACAAAAACAAAACAAAAAAACTCACACACAAAAAATCAACATGAAAGATTTTCCCAGAACTATAAATTTAATCTCGAGTGGTGCAGAATGTGACTCGTAACACTGCAAGAACAAGGAAGGTTCCTTTTTTACACAACATGGATTGTTTTTGTTTGTGGACAAGTTTGTACTCACCTAGTTGTGCTTGCATGAGGTGTGCTTCGACTCTTGAATCTCGCCTTTCAGTGATGAATCAACTGGTGTTCTCAGGTTCCTGAGCCATTGGGGTCATGTCTACATTTAAATCCGTGTATGGAGTCGCCCTCCACCACTCCACAACCCGTGTATGGAGTCGCCCTCCACCACTCCACAACCCGTGTATGGAGTCGCCCTCCACCACTCCACAACCCGTGTATGGAGTCGCCCTCCACCACTCCACAACCCGTGTATGGAGTCACCCTCCACCACTCCACAACCCGTGTATGGAGTCGTCCTCCACCACTCCACAACCCGTGTATGGAGTCGTCCTCCACCACTCCACAAAGTAGCGTGTGTTGTGCACTAATGTGGGTGAAGTACGTTTAGAGGTGTGAAGGCAACACAGCTGTGAGTCAGGTGTGAGTGCTTCAGTCATATAACTTCCCGCTCCTCATAAACCACGTGTAACGGGAGACATCTCCCGTCACGCAGGGTGCAGTTGCACCTCCACAGATCTCCAGTATCAGCTCTTGATACTGGTAATGGCTCCAAAGGGCCACCACTTACGGGCTATTCATGCCCGTGCCACCTTTTGGGTGGCTTAATCTTCATCAATCAATCAATCAAACCACATGTAAATGCTCCTTATTCCAGCCTTGAAACACTTGTTTATAGTTGACCCGAACACTTTACACACAGCCCGTTTTTTCCCCACTTATAAATTAATATTATTATACATTACAATTCTATGTATAATTAGGCGTATGTTAGGTTAGATTATTAGGTTCTGTTGACAATTATTTGTATTTGAAGTACGGGGTGGAAGTATTTACAGCGTTGTGGTTCGAACAGAGGACGTCAGCGAAGCACTGTTCGAAAAATGTTCGAACGTCATCAGTTGGGAGTCGTGTGTAAAGCGTTTTTTAATCATAAACACCGCCAAGCCTCATCAACAAAGGCCAAATGCTAGTTAATCCAGCCACCAATCCCCCTGTTTATGCATGAAAAATGGTTTACACACGACTCACAACTGATGAACTGGCAACTGATGAGGTTCGAATTTTTCTCGAACGGTGCTTCGCTGACGATCTCTGTTCGAATCACAGCGCTGTATATGCTTCGTTCACGTGCTTCAAATGCAAATAATCGACAAGCAGTCCGTCCTTCAAGTAAAGACCCAAAGTCCATTCCATGCACCGGCCAAACCCCCTGTTTATGAATGAAAAACGGTTTACACACGACTCACAACTGATGACGTTCGAAAACTTCCGGAACAAGTGCTTCACTGACGACTTTTGTTCGAACCACAACGCTGTAAATGCCTCACCCACGTACTGCAAATAAAAATAATCCCCAACAGAACCCAAACACCTAACCAAACCAATGCCTAAATATGCTCAGTATCCTAATAAATATCAATACTTATTCATATTTGAGAAAATTCAAATTTTGAATAACAGCATGTTATTAATGCGTCTTTGGGGTCGACCGCTGGATGGAATGGACTTTGTCTGAGAACGGGTCGCAACCTGTCCTTAGGCCGGACTCTATAAAGCATTGTTCGTCCTCCATGATGCCTTCATCAATTTTTAGATATTGCCGTGCTGAGGCTGTGTTAGCGCCGTGCTGGTGCTGTGTTAGTGCCGTGCTGGTGCTGTGCTGGCCCCGTGCTGGTGCTGTGCTAGCCCCGTGCTGGTGCTGTGTTAGCGCCGTGCTGGTGCTGTGCTGGCCCCGTGCTGGGGCTGTGTTAGCGCCGTGCTGGTGCTGTGCTGGCCCCGTGCTGGGGCTGTGTTAGCGCCGTGCTGGTGCTGTGCTGGCCCCGTGCTGGTGCTGTGCTGGCCCCGTGCTGGTGCTGTGCTGGCCCCGTGCTGGTGCTGTGCTGGCCCCGTGCTGGTGCTGTGCTGGCCCCGTGCTGGTGCTGTGCTGGCCCCGTGCTGGTGCGGTGCTGGCCCCGTGCTGGTGCTGTTAGCGCCGTGCTGGTGCTGTGCTGGCCCCGTGCTGGGGCTGTGTTAGCGCCGTGCTGGTGCTGTGCTGGCCCCGTGCTGGTGCTGTGCTGGCCCCGTGCTGGTGCTGTGCTGGCCCCGTGCTGGTGCTGTGCTGGCCCCGTGCTGGTGCTGTGCTGGCCCCGTGCTGGTGCCGTGCTGGCCCCGTGCTGGTGCGGTGCTGGCCCCGTGCTGGTGCTGTGCTGGCCCCGTGCTGGTGCGGTGCTGGCCCCGTGCTGGTGCGGTGCTGGCCCCGTGCTGGTGCTGTGCTGGCCCCGTGCTGGTGCTGTGCTGGCCCCGTGCTGGTGCTGTGCTGGCCCCGTGCTGGTGCGGTGCTGGCCCCGTGCTGGTGCTGTGTTAGCGCCGTGCTGGGGCTGTGTTAGTGCCGTGCTGGGGCTGTGTTAGCCCCGTGCTGGTGCTGTGTTAGCCCCGTACTGGTGCTGTGTTAGCGCCGTGCTGGGGCTGTGTTAGCGCCGTGCTGGGGCTGTGTTAGCGCCGTGCTGGGGCTGTGTTAGCGCCGTGCTGGGGCTGTGTTAGCGCCGTGCTGGGGCTGTGTTAGCCCCGTGCTGGTGCGGTGCTAGTCAACCAGGGAGACATCGATGTCTAGGACGCAGCCGACTAGAAAATTGAATTCTGATTGGTGAGGTCCTCCAGCCCTTGTGTCCCGTTTCCTGGCCTGAGCTCCGTCTCTGCTGGTCTGTAGCTCGGTCTCTGGTGCCAAAGACCCAGGTCTGTAACACAGTCTATATCCCCGGTTCGAATCCCAGGATTCTGTTAGCCATGAGCTGTTGGTTTCTCGTGATCTTTCATGTTCTCTAGCGGACTCGTGCCCCCATATATAGCGGTCTCTATTGTAAGTGATTTCACATCTGACTTTACAAAGTGCCGTGAAGTTCAAAGTTCCGAGCTCGAAAAACAATCATTCTGATCGTTGACTTCTACACTGAACTTTGACCTTCACCTTGAACTTTGAACTTGTTCATAACCTTAAGCTTTGAACTCTAATAAATGTCTGTTAAATGTGATATTAAAATTTCACCCTTATTCATTAATCGTGAAGAGGGTGGGGTGGGGGAGGGGGGGAGGAGGAGCTTGATGTACTGGAGTAGGGCGTGGGCGTGAACGCGGGCGTGAACAAGAGTGAACCGCTAATCCATGAATTATCGGCTTTATTGAGGGAGGGAGGGTAGATAAAGAGGGAGATAAGAAGGTAAGGAAGCCACAGCGACCAGACAGATTAACGAAGGGGTGGCACTAATTACCTTCCATTTACTCATTTCTCTATCACCATTAAAGTTATCAAACGGATAATTTGCATTCGTTTTCAACAGCGAGTAATTACAGTCCATAGTTGTTGATATCTAAAGTTGCTACGTCCTTCCCAAAGGCTGAAGCAACCTGTCTATACGAACTGATATCATAACAATGATATCAAAACAATGTTTGTTGTTTAAGATTCAGTTACTTGTAACAAAAATGTTCCAAGTAGCACGGGCTATGGTGAGCCCGTAGTGGACTTACCTGGCACAGGAGCGGGGCTGTGATGAAAACAAGTCCCTCCTCTTTTATAAATGCTAAGGATAACGTAGTTGATGGTATTTACAGCGTATAACTTATTATTCATATTAATAAGCATATTAGACTTCAGTTTAAAATATCATTAGAGAATTTGTTGATATATTTCAGCAACTCAGGGAAACTTGCCACGCGGTCTGAGAAATAGAGAAATATACACAACATATGTTTCTATAAGCAGTTCACAGCAGACTTGATTTAAAACTCATATGCTTTTCAAATTTGTAAATATCAATGTTACTTTTTTTTAAATATAGACGACATATAGACAAACAATATATTTACGAAATCCCATAGGAAAGTTGAAATAAATTCTTCCTGGAAAAATATATATTACCATATGTAAAAATTTAGATATGTATAGATATTTATATGTATTTAGATGTATATAAATATTGATATGAATATATATATGCAGACGTAACGACACAAGATTAAAACTGAGAGCTTTTGTTAAATAACATCCTCAGGGAGTTGGGGGGGGGGGGTTCTTGAGACTAGGTAATTAAATACAGACCAGGCCAATTTATACAAAAAAAGTTACGCCAAATTAGCATAACAATGTCAGGTGTTGTAATTGTATTACACATTACGAGTTATAACCCCACAAAAGTAAGATGGTTTCCAAGCCCCCTGGCGGAGGTGTCCAAAACTCTAATTCTTGGAGGAGGGATTATTTACCTCGGAATGGAATGATAAAAAAAAATCCACTAAGGGCTGTGAGGTGGGGCGCGAACATGCAACCGAAGCATTGCCAAACCGCATATTCTACCACTGTACCACCGAAACTGGTCAAAGTCATACAACCAGATTTTCCTGTAATTTCAGTAGAAATCCGGTGGTGTGAATTTTTTTGTCCAAGTCCGCGCTGGTACAGTGGTGGAGTATGCGGCTTGGCAATGTCTTGGTCGCAGGTTCGCGTCCCACCTTACAGCCCCAGTGAATTTTCTCATTGATATATATATATATATATATATATATATATATATATAT